GAGGAAGGGATGCAGGGATGGGCCCTGCCGGTCAGGGAGGGGGAAGGTTGAAGAAGCCTGGAAGGCCCCGGGGTCCCCAGGCCCACCTTGCACCACCAGCCGCGTTTTCCCCATGGCGCTGCCCGCGCTGTTCTGGGCGATGCAGAAATAGTTTCCGGCATCCTCAGGGCGGGTGTGGGCGATGTGCAGCTCCCCGCTGGGTAGAACCCGGGCACCGGTGCCTGGATATCGGGGAAGGAAACCAGAGTGGGGGGGACGGAGAGCCCGAGGAGGGGAGGGGGCAGCTTGGCTGATCTGACAGGCAGCGGATGACTTGCTGGGGCTACAGAGTGACCAAGTGATCGGAGGAGCCCGGAAGCCTGGCCTGGTGCCCACCCCAGTCGCCTCCTGCTCCCCTGACCCTGTACTCAGCCACCAAGTGAGAGCTCAGAGAGAATCTCAAGCCTCGGTGATGGTGACGGCAGAAGGGGGGCGCGGGGAGGGCGTCTGGCAGGCCAGGGGCCTTCTGGGACCAGGCGCAGGTCTGCAGAGTCCCCTGGGGCAGGAAGGGGGGGCCCCAGGCCCCACGCCATTCCTCCCCCCAGGCTGGCTGGCAGGGAGACTCACCTGCAGGGATGCTGAGCCCTTCCTTCTGCCAGGTGATGGCCGGCCGGGGGATGCCTGAGGCCTCGCAGGGCAGCAACACCTCCTCCTCCACCACCGCCCAAACCACGCTGGGCAGAGGCTTCACCACGGGGGAGGCTGCAAGGACAGGGGTGCAGAGGCCCCGGGGATGCCTTCAACACCAGCTCCTCCAACCAGGGGACCTCTGAGCACCAGGAAGAGAGACCTCTAAAGGGAACAGGAAGGCCAGGTGCGGTGACTCAAGCCTGTAATCCCAGCCCTTTGGGAGGCCAAGGCGGGAGGATTGCTTGAGCCCAGCAGTTCGAGAATAGCCGGGGCAGCATAGCAAGACTTCATCTCTACCACAAAATTTTTAAAAATCCGACAGGCGTGGCAGCACACGCCTGCAGTCCCAGCTGCCCGGGAGGCTGAAGAGGGAGGCTCGCCTGAGCCCAGGAGGTGGAGGCTGTGGTGAGCTGTGACTGTGCCACTGCGCTCCAGCGTGGACAACAGAGTGAGACCCTGACTCAAAAAATAAAATAAAATAAATAAAACAGAGGGAACAGGGAGTCATGGAAACCTTATATGGGGACAGCTTCTCGCTCCCAAAGGATCCCACTGGAGGCAAGTCAGGCACCCGGGACCTGGGCCTCAGTTCGACACCGAGCCCCACCTGCCTCCAGCCCCCACCTGCTCCCCCACCTCAGGGCCACCGACGCTTACCTTGCACGGTGAGGAACACATGCTTGTGGGCCACGCCGGCGGAGTTGCGGGCCGTGCAGGTGTAGCGGCCGGTGTGGATGGGCAGGGCGTGCCCGATCTCCAGGGCGCCTGTGGGCCAAGCAGTCATGGAGGGCGTGAGGGGTGAAGGGGTCAGGGACAGAGGGCCCGGGGATGGGCGTGGCATACCCGGTGTGGCATCCCCCACCCCGATGTCGGTGTGCGCCACTCAACCTGCCTCGCCTGCCCATTTGTACATGGCATGAGAGGGTCAGACGGCGTGGGAGCCTGGGTTCTAGGACTGCCTCTGCTCCCTGCCCGAAGCATAATCATGGGCGAGTTCCTTTCACTCGCTGGGTTTCAGTTTCCCCATGGGCCCGACAAAGAGTCAGACAAGATGGTCTCCAGACCCAGCTGGCTGTGAAGTTCCAGAATCTGTCACTGTTCTGCCTAGAATCTCAGCCCACGATTCCATACTTTGCTGTTCTCATCCTGCTCCACTAAACACTCACCTCCTTTAGGAGGTCTGCCAGGATTTCTAACTCCTCTGTCATCCCTTTGCCCACCTAGCCTTAGCCTTGCTGATTCAATAAGCACCATTTTAGCCTTTCCGGACTGCAGGCTGCACCTTGGTGGTCTTCTAAATTGTCCTGCGTGGCCCCCTGGGCTTGGTTTACTTGTTGGGTTTTGCCGTAAGTACGTATTAGGAAGAAGAGTCTGAAAAGCACAGATCTGGCCGGTGGTTCCTAGACCTTAGGATTTCACTAAGTAACCAATGAACAAATAAATTTAATTTCAAGACTCCCCAAATTGTTTTCAAATTTTTATCTATTTATTTACTTACTTATTTGTTTGTTTATTTGAGTCAGGGTCTCACTCTGTTGCCCAGGCTGGAGTGCAGTGGCACCTTCGTGGCTCACCACAGCCTTAACCTCCTGGGCTCAGGCGATCCTCTCACCTCAGTCTCCTGAATAGCTGGGACTACAGGCATGTGCCACCACACCCAGCTCATTTTTGATTTCTTTGCAGAGATGAGGTGTCGCTATGTTGCCCAGGATGGTTTAGAACTCCTGGCCTCAAGCAATCCTCCCGCCTCATCCTTCCAAAGTGCTGGGGTTACAGGCATGAGTCACTACACCCAGGCTTTTTTACTCTGACAACGAAGTTGTTTAAAAAATCACCATCTACTGTTACCCGAATTTCATCAAAGAAAGAAACTTTCAACACCAAAAGATTAAGAGCACAATTTGAGAACAAAGGACAAGCCTTTTTTCTTTTCTTTTTTTTGAGTCAGAGTCTCACTCCATCGCCGAGACCGGAGTGCAGTGGCACACTCACGGCCCCCCAGCCTCTGCTGGGTTCAGGCGATCCTTCGCCTCAGCCTTCCAAGGGGCTGGAACTACAGCTGTGTACCACCACATCTGGCTAATTTTTGATTTATTGTAGAGATGAGGCCTCGCCAAGTTGCCCAAGTTGGTCTCAAGCCTGTGGGCTCAGGCAATCGTCCTGAGATTACAGGTGTGAGCCACTGCGCCCGGCCAGGACAAGACTTTAACGAGGCTTCTGGAAACTCCCCAGGAGCGATTACTTTTCGCATCTTGCCATGAAACAGTACTGAGTTGCCAGCAAGCCTCAGGGAACCACTGATGGATCTCAACCCTGCACTGCACAGAGCACCCTGAGGCTCAGAGAGGGAGAGGGCGTTCTCCCAGGTCACACAGCGTGGGAACGGCAGAACCAGGCCAGAACCGTCCCCCTTGTCTTCGCCCACCCTCCGAGGTCCCCAGTGGAGCGCCCGGGGCTTCCCCGAACCTACCGGAAGGTGAGACTCGGTAGCCGCTCCCCCGCAGCCCCAGCTGGGCACCCGCCTTGCTCCAGGACACGGCCGGGGCTGGCACGCCTGTGCTGTGGCACGTGAGCACCACGGGCGCCATCCTGGTCGCCGTGAAGTCGGTCTGGTCGTCGGCGATGGTGGGGGGCACTGAAAGCCAGGACAAGGCTTGAGGGGCCCTGCTGGGGCGCCCGGGGAACTCATGGCCTTGGTGGGGGGGGGGCTAGGACTCAAGGGCCAGGGAGGGAAGCAGCAGAGGAGAAGCTGCATCCGCCCACTCAGCAAACAGGTTGGGCACAGAGACAGTCACGGACAGTTTCCTCCCTCCCTCCCTTCCTCTCTCTCTCTCAACTCTCTCTCTCTTTGAGTCAGGGTCTCACTCTGTCGCCCAGGCTGGAATGCAGTGGCACAACTGCCGCTCACCACAGTCCCCGTCTCCTGGGCTCAGGCAATCCTCCCACCACAGCCTCCTGAGTAGCTAGGACTACAGGTGCACGCCACCACACTTGAATAATTTATTTTTTATTTTTTTTATAGAGATGAGGTCTTGCTATGTTCCCCAGGCTGGTCGCAAACTCCTGGGCTCAAGTGATCTTCCTGCCTCGGTCTCCCAAAGTGCTGGGATTACAGGCGTGAGCCACCACACCCGGCCATGGACAGCTTTCTATAGAGATGACTGTCCCGTAACGTCACAGAGTGCAATTCCATGAGAGAAGGGGCTTTGAGGGAATTATCCTACTCAGAGTGGGGGAGGCCAGAGAAGACCTCTGAGGAAAGCAGTGTTTAACCTGAAATCTGAAGGAAAAGCGGGTGTTGCCTGTGTGAAGGGAAGTGCCTGGCAGAAGGAACAGCATGTGCATAGGCCCTCAGGCAAGGAACAAAAAGCTGAGCCACACCACCGGACCCCAGCGCGAGGCAGGCCTGGGGTGAGCTGAGGAGGGGCGGAGGGGTTGGCTGGGCCAGACCATAGGACCTTGCAGGCCCAGGTGAAATCTTGTCTTCTCTCCCGAGGGCAGTGGGCAGCCATGAGGGAGCGCCTTTGAACTGGGTGATGATGCCAAATTTGGGTTTAGATCATTCTGGGCTGGGGAGAGGCCTTTCCTATGAGCTCCCTTGTTCCAGGAGCTGCGTTGGAGCTGGGGTTATGTTAGTGAGGGTAGGCAGGATTCAAGCGGGCTTCCTGGAGGAGGTTCTATGCAACGAAGGAAGGCTGGAAGGAGTCAGCCAATTCCCTGCAGGCAGGAGAGCCCCCGAGAACAGGAAGGCGCTGCCCCCACCCAGAGCCTCCTCACCTCCTGCCCCGACTCACCTAGAACAGTCACCTGATAGAGCTTGCGGGCCTCACCCACCTCGTTGCTCGCCACACACTCAAACTGGGCGGAGTCCTGGGGGCCGGGGGCCGTGAGCAGCAGGGCATTGGAAGGCAGGAGCCTGGGACGGACAGACAGACGGCTGGTGACCGGCCGTGCTGACCCGAGCCAGCCAGGGCCTTCCTACTGGGGCAGCCTTGACCTGGGGGTCTCACAGCCATTTCCCCTCCCTGTATCTGGGCCCCAGCCCTGACACCAGGCGTGTCTTCTAGAAGTTCTACCCTCAAAGGCCTGGCTGTTGGGTTTGTGGGTGAATTGCGTTTTCCTCCTTGTGTTTCTTTCCTTCTTTCTTTTTTTGGAGTCAGGGTCTCTCCCCGTCACCCAGGCTGGAGTGCAGTGGCACAATCATGGCTCACGGCACCCTCGACCTCCTGGGCTCAGGCGATCCTCCAACCTCAGCCTTCTGAGTAGCTGGAACTATAGGCGCATGCCCCCACACTCAGCTAATTTTTTGATTTACTATAGAAAGGAGGTCTCACCAAGTTGCCCAGGCTGGTCTCAAACCTGCGGGCTCAGGCAATCCTCTTGCCTCAGCCTCCCAAAGTGCTGGGATTACAGATATGAGCCACCACGCCCAGCCATCCCTGTTTCTCTATGACCCTGAGTGTTTGCCGCAATCACCATCTATGATCATTTGTATAACAGCAAGCACAGTCAAGTTCCCAGTTAGAAATCTCCAGCTCACTGAGCGTCTGTTCTGACATCAGCTCCATGGCGGCCCGGTACCCAACACAACCAAGATTCGGGGAACTCACTGCTGACTGGACTCCTTCAAGTTCCCAGTGGTCATTTAATGATCAGCTGCCTTTGAGAAACGGAGAGACTGAGGCTCCCCGAGTGGTCACGTGCCCAGACGCAGTGGCACGAGCTCAGGCCTCCACGATCTGTTTGCATTTTATTTATTTTATTTTATTTTTGGGCCAAAGTCTCACTCTGTCACTCAGGCTGGAGTGCAGTGGCACGATCATGGCTCACTGCAACCTTGACCTCTTGGGCTCAGGCAATCCTCCTCCCTCAATCTCCTGAGTAGTTGAGACTACAGGTGTGAACAACCGTGCCCGGCTAATTTTTTTTTTTGAGTTGGAATCTCACTCGGTCGCCCAGACTGGAGTGCCGTGGCTGCTCCCGGCCACCACAGCCTCACCTGCTGGGCTCCGGCAATCCTTCCACCTCAGCCTTCCGAGTAGCCGGAATTACAGGCGTGCGCTACCACGCCCGGCTGATTTTTTGATTTATTGTAGAGATGCGTCTCGCTGCCCAGGCGGGTCTCGAACCCACGGACTCAGGCAATCCACTACCTCAGCCTCCCAAAGGCGCGGGATTACAGGCTGAGCCACTGAGCCCTGCCCGGCTAATTTTTAAAATTTTTTTTATAGAGACGAGGCCTCACTTGGTTGCCCAGACTGATTTCGAACTCCTGGCCTCAAGCAATCCTCTGCCTCAACCTCCCAAAGTGCTGGGATTACAGGTATGAGCCACTGTGCCCAGTTCTACGTTTTGTTTGTAGACAAGTAGTGACTGTGATGGACACAGAAGTCAAATGGATTCTCTGTTTGGTTGTGTTTCCCCCATGCCCTCACCCCCACCTCCTCCCCAGACCCCAAGGTTGAGACCCAAGTTCACTCCGCCCCCTCAGTGAGCCTGGCCTGCCCCCCGACCCCGAGTGTCTCAGGAAGCCACCTCGAGGGCCAGCTGATTACCGGTAGGCGCCCTGCTGCAGGCGGAAGTCCAGCTTCTGTCCGTCCTTCCACCAGACTGCCAGGGGCTTGGGGGAGCCGCTGGCCTCGCAGGACAGCGAGGCCGTGGTGTGGGCGGTCAGGGTCAGGTTGGAGGGGCCCGGGGCGATGGCTGGAGGCTCTGGGGAGGGGGCAGTGGTCAGGAGACAGGGGCAGGAGGGGGCGTGGCTGGGAGCTCTGAGGCTGTGCCCAGAGGCCAAGCCAGGGCCACCACCTCCAACCCATCCCGAAAGGTGCAGAGAAAGAGGGCCTGGGACACGCCCAAGGCAGAGGTTCCCACAGCCTCCTGGAGCTCATCCCTGACCTGGCACCCCTTCCCCACCTCTCCTTGGCCCATTAGCCTCCACTGAGGCTAGTGCCTACCAGTGTGGCCTCCCATTAGAGTGGGGGGAGATTCTAGCCTCTGACTCGAGTGATTTTGCTTTGTTTTGATACAGGCTCTCTCTGTCACCCAGGCTGGAGTGCAGTGGCACAATCGTAGCTCACTGCAGCCTTAACCTTCTGGGCTCAGGTGATCCTCCTGACTCAGCCTCCCAAGTAGCTGGGACTACAGGTGCGTGCCACCACACTTGGCAAATTTTTAAATTCTTTTTGTAGAGTTGAGGTCTTGCTCTGTTGCCCAGGCTGGACTTGAACTCCTAGGCTCAAGCGATCCTCCTGCTTCAGCCTCCCAAAGTGCTAGGATGACAGGCATGAGCTACCATGCCTGACCCAAAACTTTTATTGATGGGCTTCATAAACACATTTGAAGACCACTGCTCTTGGTTTCTGACAGCTGGGATGACCCAGATACTAGGCAGGACTGGACCCTGGCAGGGACTGGATGCTGAAAGTGGGGAACACGCCTTCTCTGGTCCACCTACCAAAGACCTGGAGGTCACGGCCCTGCCGATCAGAGCCGGCGGAGTTGGATGCCAGGCAGAGGTAGTGGCCGGCGTCCTGGGCCAGGACTGGCTGGATCCTCAGGGAACCCTCGGGCAGCACTTCCAACCTGGAAGGAGGGAGGGGTTGCCATGGAGACTGGCAGGCCAGAGGGGCCCTAGAAGAGCTGTCTCCAGCAAGTGGGGCCCGAGAGGGGCTGTCTCCAGCAAGCCTTCCTCTGTCCCCCATTCTCCCAGCAAAAGAATGCTAACTCTAGAGTCAGAGTCCTCAATCTCCAAGGTCAAGCTCACAGCCACGGGCAGCTCCCTATATCCCAAGCCAGCATTAGAAAGATCCAGAAAGGGTCTGCTTTGGGCCTTCCATGCTCCTGCTTGGGCCTAGCCTCTCCTGAAAGGCAGCAGGCAGTGGCCCCCCAACTCCTTCTGAGGGTGGCCTCTGGGTCTGAGAAATGCCCTTCCCAAGGGCCGTGTCCATACTGTGCAATCCCGCCCCCAGCCACAGCTGATTGGCCTGGGCATGTGCAAGTCACTCAGGCTGGGCCAGTGGCATTCTCTGCCCTGGGAATTTGGAATTGGGTTCCCAGATAGCTTGCTAGGCTCCACAGATGATATGAGCTGAAGAGCTGCAATCTTGGGGGCTGTGGGGGTGTTGGGAGGACATTTTGCTATGTTCACAGAACGTGAAAGAGAGAGAAAGAAAAGAGAGACATGAAACCCACACACAGAAGAAGAGATTTGCAAGAGCCCTCAGCAAGTGGCTGGCCCATCCTTGTGTTCTGAGAGCCACCCATGTCCTGATGATAACGTCGCTTTTCGGCTCCAACCACCCAAGTGGGTTTCTGCTCACGACCCACAGAGGCACCCGAGACCCTCCCCTCCTCCCAGCTCCCACCTGGGGCTCCCGGGATCCAGGGGGGCTCCGTCCTTCCGCCAGCTCACAAAGGGTGGGGGTGCGCCATCGGCCTGGCAGGGCAGCAGGGCCGTCTGGTTGATCGAGGCGTTCACCACGGCCGGTCCTGGTCGGATGGTGGGCACCGCTGGGGAGGGACACAGAGGGAGTGGGGCTGGGAGCCTGTGGCTCTGCACGGGTGGGGGGGTGGGCGCTCCACACTCACTGTGGATGTCCACGCGGAAGGCCACGCTGGTGCTGCCTGCGGCGTTGCGGGCCGTGCAGCTGTAGTCGCCGCTGTCCGCCGTGCTCAGGGCCTGCAGCTGGAGGAACCTGCCCTGCTTGGGGAACTGGGTGTGGGCGTCCGCCAGCAGAGCCCACAGGGGGAGAGATGCCCATCAGCCCCCGGGCACCAAGGAACCCAGAAGGCTAGACGGTGGCCTCCATTCGAGGCTGGCCTCAGTGTCCTCAGTGCTGAGGACCCACTGAGGAGACAAACGCTCCTCCAGGAGGAAATGGGCACTCGGTCCCAAGAGCCAAATCTACAGCCCTTGAGTCCACAGCAGCAAGCTGGTCCCGTTTCAGGGATGAGCACAGAGAGGCTCGGTCACTGGCCCCAGGACAGACAGTCACTCTGAAGGAACCGTGGCAAGAACATGGGCATGTGCTTCAGAAACCCTGTGTGCCCAGAGCCTTGCCTCAGTGTCCCCATCTGTAAAATGGGAATGCCAATAACCACAGCGGTAGGGGATGTCCCAAAGTGCTGCTCAGAGCAGCCCTTGGTACCCGGGATCTGGCCTGCTCAGGGTCTGGGGCCTGTGAGAGACAGAAGGCAGCGTCCCGGGGTCCCCTGCTGGCGCCCACCTGCAGCAGGACGCCGTCTCGGTGCCACTCGATCTCGGGCGCTGGTTCCGCCTCCACTGAGCACTCCAGGACCAGCTGCCCCGGGGCCAGGCCGACCACGGAGCGGGGGCCTCGGGGCCCAACCACATTCGGAGGGGCTGAGGAGGTGGGGGTATAAGAGGATATGAGGGGGGACCCAGGGGACCTACCCCCGCTGCAGGCCCCACCCTGCCTTCCACCCTGCCCCCCACGCCTCCTACCTTGAACCCTGACCCGGAAGCTCTTCTCAACTTCCCCCGCGGGGCTCTCGGCCAGGCAGGTGTACAGCCCGGCATCGCCCACCTGGGGACGGAGCCGAGTGAGCCGCTGCCCCTGGCCCCAGCCTGTCCACCTCCCATCCTATTTTCCTTCCTACGCAACCGGGGACCCAGGATTCAAACTCAGGCCTCGAAGTCTGCAGTCTGCCTTCCCAGCCAAGCCACACCCCTCTCTGGAAGTCTCTCCCTCCATCTCACTCTTGCTTTGGGGCTGGTGCAAGGCCTACCTCTTCCTGGAAGTCCCCCTTGACTGCTTCTCTGGCCTGGATGGGGAGTGTCCCGGCTTTGGTACCCGCCTGGGCCCTGACCCCCCGAGGAGGAGCTCAGCCAAGACTTGCCCACTGCCCGCTGGTCTGGGGAAGCTGCAGCTCTCCCCCCACCCCCAGCCTCACCTCCCCAGCCCTGCGCCGGGCACCAGCACCTGAATGCCCTCCACCCGGAGCACCCGCCCGGCTCTGCTGCTGTCCTCTGGCCAGGTCAGGGCCCGCCCGTCCTTATGCCAGGTGACGTTGGGCTGGGGGGTGCCCCGGGCATCACAGAGGAGCTCCATGACGGTTCCAGGGGTCAGCAACAGCTCCGCAGGCTGGCCCCCATCCTCGATGTGGGGGGGGTCTGCAAGACACCCCGCGGTGGGTCCACCCTGGCCCGGGGCACTGTGGGTTGGGGTTTCTCCTGTTCCCCCACCGCACCATCCAGATGCGGGCAGCAGATGGGGCCAGAAGCAGAGAAGGGGTGGGGTCGGAAGGGCCTGGAAACCTCAGGCTGGAGTGCCCAGGCTGGAGTGCCGTGACACGGTCAGAGCACATTGCGGCCTCCAACTCCTGGGTTCAAGCAATCCTCCTGCATCAAACTCCCCAATAGCTGGAATTACAGGTGTGTGCCACCACACCCAGCTAATTTTTAAAATTTCTTTGCAGAGACAGTGTCTCACTATGTAACCCAGGCTGGTCCTGAACGCCTGGGCTCGAGAGATCCTCCCGCTTTGGCCTCCCAAGGTGTTGGGATTCCAGCCATGAGCCACCACACCCGGCTCATTTGTGCTTTAAAGCCAGCGAGGATGAGGAATGGAGGGGGACACACAACCGACACCCATTTTGCCACTCTGACACTTGCTGATGTGGTACTGAGTCTCAGGGCTCTGCCCCCAGATTTTGGCAGCCCTTCTTACTTCTGCCACCAAGGTTGGGTGGACAAGACAGAGGGACACAGCCCCAAGAGGATCAGACATCTCGGCCACCCTCTCCCCACAGGTCAGACCAGTGAGGTGCCCCATCCGTAACCAAGCCTGGTCTCTGAGGCCCGCTCGCAGCTGGGAACCAGCCTCCCTCACTGCCTCCCCCAGCCAGAGAAGCCACCGGAGGACCCACCCATGACGGTCAGCTGGAAATGCCTCCTGGCCTCGCCCGCTTCGCTCACGGCCAGGCAGGAGTAGGTTCCCGCATCCCCAGCTCCCACCGTCTCCAGCTGCAGGCTGGGACCTTGCTTGAGGCCCTGAGACGACAGGGGCTCCCCGTTCTTCATCCAGGACACAAGGGGCTGGGGGATGCCCCGGGCCTCGCACGGGAGGACCACCGACGAGCTGCGGACCGCCACCACGTCATTTTGGAACTCCACTGGCTCTAGGATGGGCGGCACTGTGGAGGGCAACAGGCCGGGCGGGAGTCCCTTAGTTCCATGACAAGCGGCCCCAGGACCTTGGCATGAGTTGTTCCTATTGGCCGGAATGCCTTTGACCTAGACAAGTCCTTCTCATCGCTGGTACCCAGTGTAGACCTCACCTCCTCGGGGAAGCCTCCCCTGATCCCCCAAGCCAGTTGAGGTACCCTCCTCTGTGCTCCCACAGCATCCTGTCGGTCCCCTGGTGTCACTAGTTGCCTGGAATCATGATTGTCCCTTACAGAGCTGTTTCCCCACGGGCCTCTTGAGGGCGGCCAGGGGCCACTCTGTTCCCCATGTGTCCTGTGGCCCCCAGCACACCAGACACAGTTGAGAGATGAATGAATGCACACCCCAGTGAACCAAAGATGTTTCCATCAGCTAGCAGAGGGGCCAAGGGCCTGGACTCTCGCTTGCCAAGGCCAAGGCCCCCTTTGCTCACCCCCTGCTCCGTACCGTGCACCTGCAGGGTGAAGTTCCTGTCTGCCACGCCAGCGGGGCTTGCAGCCACACAGGTGAAGACCCCAGCATCTGCCAGCTGCACCTGGGAAATTCTGGATCCAAGAGAGAGGACAGGGTAGAGGAGGGAGAGAAGAGGGAGGGGGGCGATGGTGGGGAGGGAGATGGGGAGGAAGGTGGACAGACTCTCTCCCTCTTCTTTTTTTTTCTTTTTTTTTTTTTGAGTCTGGGTCTCACTCTGTTGCCCAGGCTGGAGTACAGTGGCACAATCATGGCTCACTGCAGCCTGGGCTCAGGTAACCCTCCTGCCTCAGCCTCCTGAGTAGCTAGGACTACAAGTGTGTGCCACCACACCTGGATAATTTTTAATTTGTTTGCTTGTTTGTTTTTTTCTTTCTTTTTGAGTTGGAGTCTCACTCTGTCACCCAGACTGGACTGCAGTGGCCGCTCCCGGCCA